AAGAAATCTTGCAGTAGGCAGTTAGAAAGATTTTTACTAATCCCCAGTAGTCTGAGGTTGACTTATTCTCTGAAACACGAAGGTTTATATGTCTTCTGAACAAATGAAGGATTTTCAAGAAATGTGGCCATGCTGTATGATCAAATGTATCTTTGGCATCTAATGAGTTTGCAGACACTACAATATCTTGTAAACTTGCTTGCTTGACATTGTATAATAGCCCTATCATACTCTCTGCTCCCAGCTTACTTTATGTGAAACCTGATTAATGTGTATAATATTACATAACTAGATTGCTAATGTTTTCACTAAGTTTTGGTTTATCAGTGATGTTGGTCTGTGTCTTTTAACAAAGCAGTGATACTCTCACTTCATTATGCAGGGCTCTTATGAAGGTTATTATTGTCTCTGGTAGGGAGTCTTCTTGCTGGTCTCAATCAACATTGGTAACAACAGCTAAAGGTATTTGATCTAACTGTAGATTTTAAAATTCTGTAGAGAATCTATCTGGCCATGCATCTCTTCACACCCCACCCCCTTAGTAGACAACTGTATAGTCTGCTTAGCCTCTTCTAATTCAGTCTGGGTGTTTAAAACCAATGCATCCTCAGATGTGAATGTAAGCAAGTACTTCCATCATCCTCTGCATCTGCAGATGCATAGAAGTTCTGGTAAAAGCCTTGGAATGTTAGGTTAATAACTATTGACTTGCTAAACAGAGTACTATTTTTATCCTAGATGGCTGCACTGCTCCTGCTGGATTCTGTTGATTTCAGTTCATAGGCTAATAACTCTCCTGCCTTCTCCTCACACTCCAAATAGCAAAAATTTAGTCAAAAGGGCAAACTCATAGATGTCTGTATTTGTTTGGTTCATATTCTTTATGGATTAAAACCTTTTCTGGTTCTGATATTTAAGACATGAACATTCGTTCCGTTGAGCTCCTTGATCTTTCTGCCTTCAAGGAGATAGCTTGCTCTCTTTCTCCAAGACAAAGCAGATGTTCTTCCCCAGGTCTGTAGATACGCAAATAAAAGTGGAGAGGTGGTGGGATGGCAATACAGATTTTGGCCCGAGTCTTCCAATGAACTTCCTGCATGTGGTTCCCCTGGGATTCTGCCTGGGTGCAGGTCTGCATCTGCTTAGAGAGAACGAGTTGCAGGACTGGGAGCTTAAATTGGGGATTTCCCTGGCAAAGAATAAACTATCAGGTGTCATTCCTGCATTTTAGAAGATTTTAGACAAGGATTTTAGTCAGAACCTAAACAAACTCCAAGAGAAACAAAAAGAAGCCCTATAGTGGTATTTCTGTGGAGTTCTAGAATAAATTTGCCCGTGGCAAATTATACTCTGTTAAAACAGCAAAAAACCATAGGCTCCAAAAGCACATGCATTGTTCTCATCAGACACCTCCTACCTTTGGAAATGTGGTCAACACTTTGCTGGATCAGGCCCTAAGTGCAGTGGTGGTTTTTTTTGTTTGTTTTTGTTTCAATTACAAAGAATCTAGTCTCATAGACTATCAGGGTTGGAAGGGACCTCAGGAGGTCATCTAGTCCAACCCCCTGCTCTAAGCAGGACTAATCCCCAGACAGATTTTTGCTCTAAATCCCTAAGTGGCCCCCTCAAGGATTGAACTCGCAACCCTGGGTTTAGCAGGCTAATGCTCAAACCACTGAACTATCCTTCCCCCATGAGCTGGAGACATGAATTCCAGAGAGAACATAAAATCCCTATACAGTGTACGTCGTAACCTGTCAATTCCAAATCTGTTCCCTGGTAATTCCTTTTACCCAGGAATGAAATGTGCTTTTGTGCCTTAAGTGCTAACCTGTGATATTAGAATGCCTCCCTGGCCCTTCCTGTAACAGATCCAGAACTCTGATAGTCTCCCTTTAAGAGGACATTAGTGTCACTATAATCCTGGGTGTTAGGCTGGTGTTTGAGCAATTGTGAAAGAAATGTTGAGTATTCTTTAATAGAAGCATACAGGACTGTCCCTTAATCTGTGTAATGCACAGCAGTCACCACATTCTTGGCCAAAAATTTGAAACGTGGGTGCCTAAAGTTATATTATCTGTATTAGATGATCTGATCAGTTGGAGCCATGGGTGCTCACCACCTTTGAAAATCCAGCCAAAATGTTAGTTTGGTACCTAACTTCAGTCACCCAAATTTGACATTTTTTCTAGTATTCCTTAATCAAAACCCATCTGTCCTTCTCCACTTGATACAGCGGACAACATGTTCAGTCTCTAATTCTCCCCCTCTTCCCCTCCCCGAAAATGCATAATAACCCTCGGTGACTTTCTGACTTTCTGCTGAACTCTTTAATTGAGACCCTATCAGTGTGCAGATTATAATATTTCAAGGTGTCATTAGAAAATTTCATGTGACACTCTCAAACTGATTATAACCCTCTGATGGGAACCAGCAGACAGTACAGTATAAGGCCCGAAGGCAAAAAACCTGTCTGATGAATGCTCTTAACCTTACTAACCTATAGACCATTTATACAGCAGACCGTTTAAGATACTCATCTCACTAAATGTGACATTCTAATTCCTAAAGGCGAACAGTACTGGATGAATATCAACTGGCAACAAGTTTTGATCTATTCTCCCTTTTATGTATTCAGATTCTAATCCCCCTGCAGGGCCAGAATCTCAAGGCTAGTCTACACTAAATACACTACATCGGTGCAGCTGCACTATGTCTGGTGAAGACGCTGTGTGCGGGCAGGAGAGAGCTCTCCTGTCGACATAATAAATCCATCTCCATGAGAGCTGGTAGCTATGTCGGCGGGAGAAGCGCTCCCACCAACATAGCGCTGTCCACACCGGCGCTTAGGTCGATGTAAGTTACGTCGCTCATGGGGGTAGTTTATTTATACTCCTGAGCAATGTAAGTTATACCAAAATAAGTGGTAGTGTAGACCTCAGTTTTTTAGAAGATCCTGGGGTGTTGGTGAGGAGATATTGAGGACAGGGTAGAATCCTAAAATCATTGAGTTGTAAGGAAGCTTTTTGAACCATCTAGTCTATTCCATGGATCACTGCATGGTTATAATGATTGTTATACAATACTTCTGAGTGTAGATAATGTAGTTATGCAGAGCTTCTCATCTTGTCAAGTGTTTTACAAACATCAGCTAACCGATACAACATTCCTGAGAGGCATGTGGTATTATCCCCATTTACAGATATGGGAACCAAGGCAGATCTTTTATGTGACTTGCTCAAGAACATACTATGAATCTGTGTCAGAGCTAGGATTAGAACTTCGGAGTTCCTGGGTTTCAGTTCTGTGCTTCAATCACTACGATTATGCCTCATTTTCAGAGAATTCTCATGGTCTGGCAAACAGAATATCAAGCACAATTTTTATAAATGTTGCCAAGAGGACAAATCATATTTCCATTACTCCCCTGCATTGATGGGTCTGTTTTAGTGAGACTTTATTTAAAAACAAACACACATTATTTTGTATGTTTTAAATAAAAATTAGAGAAGCAATATATTTAGAATTAACTTTATACATACTACATAGCATGAATAAAAAGATTACTAGAAATCTAAATGTCTGTTAAATCATTACTTGAATCAAACAATTAACTACGTTTTCCTAAAATTAAAATATGCTTAAAAACTCAAGTGATTTTTTTTAACTTGTGCTACACAATGGTCTATGTCAAATTAGAAATTAGTTACTTATAAGAGTTACATACATCTCTAAAAAAAAAAATCCAACCAAGTGCAAAAGGTATTCATTGTTCCTTTATTAAATCTCCTGATTTGTATCCTGTAAGATATCTTCAGCCTGATTCAGCATGGAGGTGTTTCAGTTTTATGCTAGTTTAAAGTCCACTGAGAGAGTTGGAATTGCATAGATGTGAAACTGGTGGAAATGCTGTGACTACCCCTCACACGTGTGGTGTCTGACACATATAGAATTTTAGGAACTTAGATTAAGAATTTGTATTTTCCCTGCACCTTTCTGCATTTTGAGATGAGATGAGAAAATCAGTCTGTGACAGTCTGTTGTAAATGCGTGGTTTCTCAGCAGCACTGGCTCTGATGTTTCTCTAAGCATCCCCTTATTCTCTGTGTTGCAAGGAACTGGGGAGATTAATGGTTTCCAAAACAGGTGTATGGAACAGCACAAAATAAGATCCTGACCCGGAAAGTTGGTCTGTGCAGGAGGATCTCTGCACCCATATGGAGTCCCATTTAAGTTAGTGGAGCGCTGTGTGGATGAAGGGGTACAACAGTCCAGAGCAGCTTGCAGAATTGGGGTCTAAGAAGGTACTTTATTAATGAATGTATTGAAATCAAAACTGACCAGAAGAACTGGATTTACTGAGTGGGCGAGGAAGTAGTTATTCTTCTAAACAGCGCATGTAGACAGACTCGCAAGTCTCTGTTGATATGTAGCATTTATAAAGAACGAGTCCTTACTTTCGGGGAGTGGGAATGCTACAATTTTTAATACATATCCACCTACGGGAAAAGTACATCTTTAGTTATATAAATGTCAAGTGGCAATCATAGGATGCCTAAGAGAGAGTCTCAGTTGTAAGTGTGAATATACAATAACAGTGTTTTCCTCTCTGAGCCTCATGGGTGATGACTACTTCCCCAGACATTGTCATTGTTTTTACTGTCACATGTTTTCCTTCCTGAAAACTTGTTATCACCATTAACTTAGTCTAGGGTAAACAATTTAAGTTGTTTCCCCTCTCTCCCCCAACTTACTATGGTGGTGGGGCACATACTAAAACTGTATGGTCTTTCCTAAATTGTTGCCGGAAGCCCTGCTAGAATACCTATTCTTCCAGCCACTTGTCTTCACAGGGCAGATTTAATGTCAAGCAAAGAAGGAATGTGAAGAAATTTGATACAATCAGGGAAACTTCAGGCTCTTTTAGCCTCTTCAGAATGCCAGGGTAGGATAGTATATCAGCTACCTTCATATGATGTTGTTTCCTTTTTTTAAACCAGGATGTGAATGCAGGTGAAGGGAGTGAATTTGCTGACAGTGGAATCGAGGGCGCAACCACCGATACAGACCTCCTCTCCAGACGTTCAAATGCTACAAACTCTAGCTATTCTCCAACGGCTAGTCGAGCTTTCATTGGCAGCGACAGCGGCAGCAGCTCTACAGGAGATGGGGTCCGTCAGGGAGTGTATGAGAACTTCCGAAGGGAGCTGGAAATGAGCACCACCAACAGCGAGAACTTGGAAGAAGCTGGTTCAACCCTGAGTGATGAGCAAAGCAGTGGTACCTTGAGTTCTCCAGGGCAGTCTGACATTCTCCTTACAGCTGGCCAGGGCACTGTACGGAAAGCTGGGGCTCTTGCAGTGAAAAATTTTCTGGTGCACAAAAAGAATAAGAAAGTGGAGTCGGCTACACGCAGGAAATGGAAACACTATTGGGTTTCCTTAAAAGGTATATCAGATAGACTGTCATTAATAATTTACATAGATATCAAAGGGTCATCGAGGATGTAAATTAGCACAGAATTTGGCCTATAGCATCAAAATCTAGAGGCCTTGATCTGATTTAATTTTTAAATGTTTTTATCAACATGCAAAGTTCAGCTCTGATCCCTCAGTGAGCACCACTTGGGCATGCCTCTGTGCCCACATAGAGCTAACTGCAAAATTGGGGCCTTAAAGTATCATTCTTTGTGTTTTCTATCCAAAACAAGTAGCTGAATGCTGCCTTTTTAAAAAAAAACCTATTTATTTATTTATTTATTTATGTGGCATCAACAGGTTTACAGATCCTTGCCATATAACTATTGGAATCAAAACAATAATCATTACAACAGTGAGCTTTTGTTTAAAGAGACATTATACAGGAATATAAACATCAGATCTATGTTTAACGGGGTGCTCCCATATTACAGAGTGAGCATCATTACAACGCGTAAGCCATGTCGTTTCTAGTGATTTTATTAAATTGAGTGAAATCTCTGATTACACATTTAATAGACAAGGCACGTCTACCAAATGGTAATATGAATGCTTCTTTTATGCTTGTTTAAAAAAGAAATGATGAAAGAAAAATCAATGCCAGTAGCACTCTTACCAAAGCCGCTGGAAAAAATTGCAAAATTAGTAGGGAAGTATCAGAGAATGTTCTTGATTTTCTTTGGGAATTTTTTTAATGGCCACTCACTCACAATTGCGGTATGTGCTTTTGTCAAAATTAATTTGCTGTGCTGCTTCTATGGCAGAGTCTACACTATGCTTAAAATCATGCTAGCAACTATTGGATCTAACATGGCTTCCCTGACCAGCGTGCACATTTCTCTGAAAAGCATGTTTATAAAAGTGTTCTAAATGAAATCCTTGTCTGCTGTGATCATGGAATTGGTGCTAGAACTGTGCTAGTACCCACCGTGTGACAGCTGTCATTCAGTGGTAAGCTCTTTGGGGCAAGGACTGTGTCTTTGTGTATGTTTGTACAGTGCCTAGCACAATGGGGTGCTGATCCTGATTGAGGGTTCTGCATACTGTGAGAATATAAATAATTGTAGTACAATTTTAGCTCGTAGTATGGACAAGGCCTTGAACAGGAGCAGCAGTGTGGCCTAATGGATGGGGCACTGGACTGGGACTCAGAAGACTTTGGTTCTATTTCTGGTTCACACACCTGCTTTGTGACATTTGGAAAGACCTCTGTGACCTTCTTCTCCTGCTACCTTTTGTCTGTCCTGACCAGATTGTAAGCTCTTCGGGGCAGGGGCTCTCTCTCACTGTGTGTTTGTACAGCACCTAGTACTATGGGGTGGTGATCTCAGGTGGGGCCTCTAGGTACTACTATAATACAAATAAATAATAACAATAGTAAAGAAACAGGCACAGTAGGTTAAAATTGGATCTGTAAGTAGCCTTCTGAGAATCTCTGCGTAATCATCTTAAACAGCAAAGTGGAGAAACCAAGCTCATATTTGGACTCAGTCATCCATTTCCCAGCTCTGTAAGAGTCTGTGTACACTACGAGTAGAATTGTCAGGGGACTGGTAACAACACAGCTCTATTTCATAATGTAGATAGGACTACCAAAGGTTTTTGCATGACCAAGTCTTGTGTACAAAATGGAACCATGTTTTAACCAGGTCAAGGGGAAAACCATATTGTAACTAGGTTCCCTGACATAGTTTTGCTTTTTTATGTTGACTGGCCCTTAGAGATTAGCCATTGGAAAGGTACCTGCTGAGTTCCAGACATGAAGAATAGGGTCTGACTCCACAACTCTTGCCAGGTGGCATGTACCAGTGTTTGTAGCAGCAATTTAAAAACAAATTGTGAGTGCCAGCCCTTCATTGCAATTGTTACAGAGGTTGGGGAAATAAAAGAAGAGAAATTCCACGGCTGAGGGAGCAGAGAGAACCCCTAATCTCCTTCTAGCTGAGGCAGTGTGACAGGAAAGGCTGGCTGTGAAGAACTGGTAAACAAAGAGCCATCTGGGAGGGGGGGAAAAGGGGAAGGATGAGCATAAATGCAATGTTACTTTAAAGTGCCTTGTCTCAAGTCAAATGTTTGTTTCTTAGATTGCTGTGACTTAATAACGTCGCATTTAAACTAAGCTTTGAAGTTAACAGCTGCTAGTGTTTGGCTGCAAATAGTTTTCTCCAACGTTGGGTTAAAGGGGTAACCATGCATCAGTTTCCATTCTGACCACTATTTTCAACAGAAAAAGCTAGAGATTTCATTATTAAATTAAAATGTTTATATAATATTGAATAGTAGCAGAAATTGCAGAGATCCTAGAGTTACAGACTAACTATATTTTGCCTGAAAATTGTAAAGATTTTTTGCTTGAAGCCTCTAAGTTATAGTCTGTCTTCACCTAAAATGCACAGGGATTTCCCCCCTCCCCACCCCCATGTTGATAACACATTGATCAATAGCTAAAACATTGCAGGGGAACAAAGGTTTTTTTGTTTTTGTTCATTAATTTTTTTTCAGTGGGAATAACTCAGTCCAATCTATTTTTTCACTTATTCATCGGGTTTCAGTCATTAAAAAAACCTTGATCTCTACCTTCAAGGAACCATAGTAACTAGTAGTTGCGAGACAGTTTAAGCAGGACAATGGTTTCCCTGAGGGCCTGTCTACTCTATAAGGCTAATTGTGCCAGCTCACAGTAGTCTGGCATTCTGAGGGGAGTCCACCTTCTGACATATTGGGGTTTTTAATTTTTGTCACACTGATAGGGCAACATGGTTACAGAGCCGCCTTAAAGAATTGTGTTCACAGCTTCCATCTGTACCTGTATTTTCCCATCCATGGTACAGACAAAATAACCCAACAACCCCCCCAACACCAACAATAAAAACCCAAACGATGTTAGAATATGGACATCCCACGGCATGCCCCGGCACTATGCACTATCGGGGCTGAGTGGGCAGGGTAGAGAGGCACCTTCGCTTGTAATCTCAGAGGCCAAGAGTTGAATGGGCCCTGGCGAATGAAGTATCCTCTCACATCCTTTGGCCTGTGACATATTGCTTCTGTGAACAATCCACGTCTCCAAGGCTGTTCTCCAGCACCTTCACATTTGAGGGTGGAAGAAAAAAGAGTATATTGATGGAATGATCTCTCATAGCAGTGGTCTAAGCGTATCCCTTAGTGTCACTGCAGTTAATGGCTATATTCACTAAATTCATTCTACCAGTATTGCTGGCTTTTGATGATTCGAGGAGTCAGGTCCTACCAATGTAGCGCGAGGCCTATCCAGATGCAAATTCCTGCTTCCACCATCTCTTTCCTTCAGAAAGGCTCATACACACCACCCTTGCTCATCAGCAGATTTGCATTGGTTCTTTCTGTGTCTCCTGCCACTCTTTTTTCTCAAGCTGGTTGCTTGCTGGGCGGAGAGAGGAGACTGTTCCCGCTTAGGTTTCCTGGGACAATGCTTGTCAGTTCACAGGCCACTGCTGTGCCTGACAGAAGCTCTTAATTGTCCTGAATGAAAGCAGAAATGAGGGCAGGTTCTGGAAAGAGAAATAGGGCATAAAATTAAATGGGTAATACAGTGTTTTTAAAAAAACAAAAAAAGGCGTGTGAGTTTGTACCAAAGGTGCAAACACTATTGCAATAAAGTATGGTTGGGAGCAAATATAGGTAGAAAGGCACTTTTAAGCATTTCGCCCATGTTTCCAAACGCAGAGGAGTACACTGTCAGTAGATGGTAAAGAGATTTACCTTTAGGACTGCCATCAGTGATACTGGGAACTGGGTGGTACATACTGAAAAACTTCCTTCAGATGTCTCTTACCAGACCAATAGATTTTAAGTAGTCTGTGGGCTGGTCTACACTAGGGGTGAGGGTTGATGCAAGATATGCAACTTCAGCTACGGGAATAGCGTAGCTGAAGTCGACGTATCTTATTTCAACTTACCTCGGGTCCTTACGGTGTGGGATTGATGGCTGTGGCTCCCCTGTCGACTCCGCTACCGCCGCTCTCCCTGGTGGAGTTCCAGAATCGAAGGGAGTGCGTTCGGGAATCGATATATCGTGTCTAGATGAGACGCGATTTATCAATCCCCGATAGATTGATTACTACCCGCCGATTCGGCGGGTAGTCTGGACGTACCCTGTGTGGAAAATCCATAAAAAGTTATTGCTATAGCTACCCAAGTATATATTGATTTAATTTTCATTTTTGGAGGACTCAGAGGATTAGGGCTACATTCTTCTGCAACAAAGCATTGAATAGATGTGGTTTTATGGTATTTAAATATGCTGCTTGCTAATGCCTTTCTCGTGTTTTTCCTAGGATGTACATTATTCTTCTACGAGAGTGATGGCAGATCTGGAATAGACCACAACAGCATCCCAAAGCACGCTGTCTGGGTGGAAAACAGTATAGTGCAAGCAGTGCCCGAGCACCCAAAGAAAGACTTTGTTTTCTGCCTCAGTAATTCCCTTGGGGATGCATTTCTCTTTCAGGTTTGTTCTGTACTTGAGTTATACAGAGTTGTTCTTTTTAACCTTTTTGTTCATCTTGCAAACCAGGGTGAAATTCTGACCCCATTGAAATCCATGGCAAAATTCCCATTGACTTCAGTCGGGTCAGGACTTTGCTCTAGGCGAGTAGAAAGGATGGAGTTCCTGCTCAGTAGCATTCATTCATTATGTAGAAAAAACAACCCTGAGGGGGCTTGACACCAAATTCAGGTCCCTTGTACAGTCCCAAGTCTACTATTTTATAACACGCTGTGCTCTCTGCTTGTGTAGATAGATTTAAAGTCAACCGGTAACGTTAGCAAGTGGTTTTGCAACCCTATGAAAGCCAGAACTTTAATACAACTTAGTGCTATGGTTATAACACGGTTTGCTCCCACCTCCACAGGCAAGACCAAACTACAGTATATACTGCCCCAGAAGGGCTAACATCATAGCACTACCACATGTAGTTTGACTTCTATATTTGGGAGGGCAGCTCCAGTCAGGCCAATGGGGCCATGCGTTTGCAGGGGAGGGGTAAGCGGCAAATTCTGCACCTGCCCCAGGCTTGCGTTTTGGGGGGTGTTGCAACCCGCCAAACTATGCCCATGGCTAAAACACAACCCCCCGTCACAGTAAATATGCAATTGAAGATGGGACCTTACAGAAAGATCTGAGAAATGTACATGAGCGTGAGTTGTGTGAATTAGCAGGAAATATTTGGAGGTCCACAGGTTCTTTTCATTATAGTTCATAGTGCGGAATCCCACACCACTCACAACAGACTCCACTGAACATTTCACTTTCCTAGCTCAGTGCATACTATGGTTCTAAATGTCTTGCAGATTTTAGATATTAAAATCAGCTACTTTTCTGCTTTATTTACAATTTATAGTTTATTAGCAGCTTAAAGAAAACCTAAAACTATACAATGGCCAGATGCTGATCTGATTAAAAAATAGCTCTACCTTTCAACTGTCTTTGTTACTCTGATCGGTTTTTTGGGGTCCAACCCAGCATTCCTTTCACACCAAAAACTCCTGTTAGCTATGATCTGACATTCTTTTTTTTACCAAATGGAATGATCAGCCTGCATTGAGCAGTCATTTCCCAGCTACACCCTTATCACTTTATAAGCCTAGCTATTTGTTGCTGTTTTTCTCAATCAGTGAATTTTGTTTTGTCTAGTGACAATTTGGGAATGTAAATCCTTGATCAAATGGAAAAAATGTCTGGATTTTACTATATTTTTATATTCCAGTCCACTCTTGCAGAATGATTCTCCCCAACATTTCTTAATAAACCTTTAAAAGCAAACCTCTCAAAAGTATGCCCAGCTTTTATAAACATGGGGCCCGATCCTCAATTGGCTTAAATTGTCATAGCTCTATTGACTTCAGTGTGGCTATGCTGTTGATGATCTTGGCCCATGATATTTATACACACAAAAGGTTAAATTCTACCCTCATTTACATTGCTGAAACCCCTGTATATTTTTCCATAACTAATATTTGATTTTCTTCGCTGCTTCCTCCCCCAGTCCCCAATGCCTTTCTCTTAGGAGGTGTTTTTTGTCATCTTGTCGTGCTTCCATCCAGGGGGCAAATACAGTAGCATGTGGCCTCAGCATGAATTAAATAAGCTGTGAAGCACCACCACCGTCAGATCTATTTACATGAGTATAAAATATTTCATTTGCATTTCTTTTGGAAAACCTCCCTTCTTGTAAAATTAATGCCAGTAGAGGCTAAATACAGAAAAGGTCACATTCAATACATTTCTTTTGTGGCAACTCAAGGCCTTATTCGTTAAAAGCTCTGTGTCATAATGTCATGACTAGATTTTTATGTAACTTTATGTGGGAAAGAGCAAAAGTGAATCTTTTCAAAGTAAATTATTGTTTTCTTGTGACTTATGAACCGCCCCCCCTTTTTGGGGGGGGGGTGTCTTCTACATAGAACCCATGTAACTCTAAAGGAAGAGAATTAGAAGAAAATGCAGGGGTGGATTTGGGGAAAGGGATGGGGGATCAGCCATAATTGTGGAAATAATTTGTAATTATTTGTGATTGTAGCCCCAGGGCTTAATCTTATGGACACAGAATTGCTGGAGCATGTACACTGCTGTTCAACAGTGTTTCTTAGCTACTAATAACACGTACACATAGATTCATACAATACAAAATGTTATACTAGTTAGTTTAAAAAAAATACCAGGGAACAGTAGTAGATTATTTCTATCCAATGGAGACTGTAGGCTTAGAGGAAACACAAAGCCACTGTTTAATATTATACCTTTTGTAACAACTTTTCTCACTGCATTGTGTCCAGAGACATCAGACATCTCCTACATTATAATTCCCTGTTCAGTCAGTTCCTATCATGCCTACACAAATCCATTACATGTGGATGTCACATGCATTTGCCAGAAGTTCAGTGTATCTTGCAACACCACATACATTTGAGATACATGCAGCTTGTTTACAAGGTTTTTCCTTTCCGCTGGAGGCAGAGCAATCCTCTTGGTCTGCGTGCTTAATAGCCTGTTCCATGTCCAAAAAAAAGAGTTAAAGTGCTTAACAAAAAGCAGTCGCCCCCTCCTCCCAAACAAAACAAAAAACCCCTAACAAGAAGTGAATCTGATATGAAAATACTATTTTAAAAGAGAAATAAGACATTTTACAATTATTATTGTGCTGTAGATTACCATATATTTGATCACACAATAAAACAATCTGTCTTATTTTAATGATTTTTCCTCCATCATCTGTACAAAGAAGGGTTTTATACAATAAGGGCTAGCTGCTGCCATCCTAACTCTCAACTAGCAGTCTTTACTCCACAGACAGTTTGATTATTTCAGTAACATTGCTCGCCAAGTTAGGCTCTACTCATCACCAGGATTGGTGGCAAATTCTAGTGAATTCCTCAGTGAATGAGAGCTGATTAGATTGCTGTGAGCTTGTTTAGATTTAACATGGAAATACAGTACAATTTCTATGGTATCAATAGAGAACAAAGAAAGAGATATAATGTTAATTCTGTCAATATGGGCCTGATCCAGCTCCTGGGAACTCAGGAAACTAACCCTGTTCAGGTTAGTATGTAAGCATATGCTTAACCTTAAGCACACCTTTGAGTCCCATAGAAGTAAAAGGGGATTCTGCGTGTACTTAATTGCTTTCCTGAACTGGGCCTCCTTGGGAATCTTTTCATTGACATCGATGAAAATTGGATCAGGTCCTTAGCAAATAATGATAACCTCTGGTGGAGTAGGAAGAGGCAGTCTTCTTACTCCTCATTGCTAGTGACTGAAGAAAACAGATGGTGGTGGTGATATTTATGGATAAGTAGGCTTAATTAGAACAAGGTGGTCTGCTATTCGCAGGTCCTTTAGCCACAAGACAAATACTCATGTGATTACTGTTAAAGGTTGACATGCAAAGGAAGTCTATTGAATCTCTTACAACATATAGTTGACTATAAAACTTTGTTTCACTATATGCTGTAAATTAGTGAGGGCTTAGTAAGGGGGTTAGGGCGATTTACTTTTTATTTTGTAAGGATGGAAAAGGAGTACTTGAAATATTTTCTTTAGCTGTAAAAAAAATCTCAAATCAGAATGCTGGACTTCCATGAAACTGCACCCCTGTCACCTATACTAGTCCAGCATTCCCCCTCCCCCCCTCCAACTACCCCCATACATGCACAGTTTGAGAGAGGCAAGTGCAAGGGATCAGCAGGGTGTGTATAGAAATTATGTGGAATAAGAAGAATAGGCCTTTAACAATACGGATTGGATTCAAAGGTGGGTATAGTTAGTTTCATGTTCCTGAAGGTGAGTTTAGCTTTCCAAAGTCTGGGAAATGCTGCAATCTTAGCTGCCGACATGAGAGGGGAAAACAAGGATTTTAAAGCTCACATCACCATAATATCTGAGTGTTTCACATACAGTAATACATTTATCCCTGCAACACCTTGTGAGGTGGGGAAATATTATCTCCATTATTCATATGAGGAATTGAGACAAAGAGTGACAAAGGGCCTGATTCAAAGCCCAAGGAAATCAGTGGGAGCCTTTGGTTAGGCCTTAAGTAACTTCCCCAAGGTTATGCAGAAAATCCATAGCAGAACTGGGAACTGAACCCAACTCCCCTGAGTACCAGTCCAGTGCCTTAAGTCAAGATCATTCTTCTTCATGGCCTCTTTAGGTTGACATCCCTCCAGATATGTTTGCAGTGTCGTTGTAGCCATGTTTGTCCAAGGATATGAGAGCTACAAAGTGGATGAGGTAATATCTTTTATTGGACCAACTTCTGTTGGTGGAAGGGACAGAGCCACCCAAATACCCTGGAAGAATACAGGGGAGAAACACCCCCCCACCCCACTAACCTCGCACCCCTAGTTTTCCCTACCACCCCACATTGGAACCCATAGGGGGTATCATCAAGCAGTTACAACTCATACTTGATGGGGACCAGATCCTGAAAGAAATATTTCCTGAACCCCCTCTTCTGGCCTTCAAACAAACCCCAGCCTCACTAAGCTCATCATGAGAAGCAAACTCCCCACAGAACAGGACACAACAATTCAAAGTGGCACCAGACCTGCCAGAACAACAGATGCAAAACCTGCAGACATCTCTCCACTGTTATGGCAATCAATATCCCCAACATACCTTTCAAGATCCTTGGCTACACATGCCTATCACAACATATGCAGTGCATCAAATGCTCCAACAACAACTATGTGAGTGAGACCAGACAATCACTATGCTCTCGAATGACAGAAAAATGACAGAAGACAAAAAACACTTTTCACAAAGCAATCATTTCATATCTGACCTCTCAATTATCATCCTCAAAGGAAATATGCACAACACCTTCAAAAGACAAGCCTGGGAACTTAAATTCTTAACTCTGCTGGACACTAAAAACCATGGGCTTAACAGAGACACTGGTTTCATGACTCATTACAACAATTTGTAACACGCCCAACTCCCTACTAACCCTTAATTGCCCACTTCATTTTAAGTGGTCTCCTACAGCATGTGTGAACCCCTTGTGCTTAATGATCTGTCCAACCTCATAATTAGTTCACATGCTCTTGTTACTTTCTCCAGACCTGAAGCTCAAAAGCGTGTCCCTTCCACCAAGAGATGCTGGTTCAATAAAAAGATATTACCTCACCTACCTTGTCTCTCTCTTCCCTCTGTGTAGGGGAAGATATATGGCAGTGGTTCTCAAACCTTTGTAGTGGTGACCCCTTTCACATAGCAAGCCTCTGAGTGTGGCCCCCCCCCCTTATAAATTAAAAACACTTTTTTATATATTTAACACCATTATAAATGCCGGATGCAAAGCAGGGCTTGGGGTTGAGGCTGACAGCTCACGACTCCCCATGTAATAACTTCACAACCCCCTGAGGGGTCTCGACCCCCAGTTGGAGAACCTCTGATATATGGTGACATGTTTTCCAGATTAGAATAGTAGCAAGTCTAATAAAACATGCATCTGATAAATAAAAAAGAAAATGGACCAGAAAATAATAAGCAGGAGGGGAAGTATGGGCATGTAAAATGGATCTCTCTAGCTTTTATTGTTTGTGTGAGAAACTTACAATTCTAATGATTTACCAGAATACTTCATAATAAAACCAACAGAAAACTGAAAAGAGAGAATGCTGAGAGGAAATGTGCTCATCTATTAACAAAAGTACAGTGGTACCATTTGACGTTTTATTTTCAGGTTGCTGGCATCTCTACTAAATATTCTGGTGAAAGATCAGGGGATGCTGTTAGCAGCAGTAAATATGGAAGAGCCTGATTCTCATTCATGCTCAGGCCCCTTATTATAAGAAGGGTGAATTGTCCAGTGGTTAAAGCACAGGATTGGTGTTATGGAGATCTTTTTAATATTTCCAGCTCCTTCATTACTCGCTCTTTGATATAGTATGATAACTACTATATGTCCTCATTCCCATCTGTAATATACTGATAATAGTACTTACCTACTTCCCAGGGGTATTTGTGAGGATTGAATCCATTAATGACTACAGAGGGCTTTGAGACCTTCATTTGGAAGCAGCTATACTTTGCTCTTGTATTAAGCTATAAGCTGATACTATGGCCACGTATTATTTCATTGATTTATTATTAATTGTTGCATGCCAACCATGTGCGCCACGCTGTGAGGACAGACGTTGTCTGCCTCAAGGAATTTGCAGTCTAAAAAATTTCATTTAATGCTACAAATTATTGTAGCATTATGAAGGCCAAGGAAAGTCATTTTTAAGCACTTGCTAGCAAATATGCTACAGCTGCTAGGCATAGATATATGTCTAAATACTGAATTCAGGGTGCTGAGCTAAAAATGGCCTGTTTCATATGCAGTATAGAATGACAGTTTTTTATTTCTTCTGTTATAAGTGGATTTAAGGCTTTGGTTCTTGAGATCAAGGGAAGAGGAATCTCCTGAGAATTGCATTTGTTAATCTCTAATCAATTTTAAGAGGATCCTGACTTTTTTTTCCTTTCCGTCTCTTCAGACCTCTAGCCAGACCGAACTAGAGAATTGGATCACTGCAGTCCATTCTGCTTGTGCCACTGCGGTAGCAAGACAACATCACAAAGAGGACACGGTCAAACTGTTGAAAACTGAAATAAAAAAGCTGGAACAGAAGATAGATATGGATGAGAAAATGAAGAAAATGGGTGAAATGCAGCTGTCCTCAGTAACGGACTCCAAGAAGAAGAAGACCATACTTGATCAGGTAATCTTTCTTGTATATCTGAAACAGATATGTTAAATATCTGAGAGACTTATAAATGCTGCTGCTGTTAGAGGCTTAAATATTGAACACATTTATTCTTCTGTACTCAGCCTACCTAAGTATGGAACTCAGAAACTGCCTCAATTCTCTGTTTTCTCTTATCAACTTTATAGCTAGCATTGCCATCATGACTCCTCTGTTGCTTGTACTTCCAACTTAAAGTGGACAACTTAGCTGCATTTGAGAAACAGAAATCCTAGAGCAGATGTCTCTCCTGCTGTCACAATGGCACCTTATTTTAGGAAACTAACATATGGACCCCGCTTCATTAAACAGCAGCACTCTTAACCCAGGCTGCCAAATGTGTTTGGAATTCTACCCATAGAAGGAGGGGGCTTCTGGGTCTTTAATGTGCTGAGTTAAGGAGATTTCCCACCCCGCAAAAACCTTTGAGAAGAGGTGAGAGGGGGGAGGGGACGCTTATCTTGCTGTTCAAATGATTCTTTTCAAAGGCTTTAAATCCACAACCAGAGGACAGAGCAGTTTTTCTGTCCCTTTATCTTGCTGGTTTTTTAGCACTCTGAAAATATTTTGTACCAGCAATTTTAATTACTTAAATGAGTCCTCACATAGGCTGATTATAGGGCTCTTCCACTGATAAGTTTAATTATCTCCAGTGTACCTCACTTCTTTTTCAAATATAACACCGCGCTTCATTGATTCTTAAACTACCACTGATGATGATGAAGAGCCAGGACTCTGTTTGTGGAATCTTGTTGGGTTTTTTGGTCTTCTCATATCTCTATTGTCCTTGATGTATAAAATCTGCCTCTTAGGAGCTATTCAGAAGAGAATCCTGGGAAACAAAGAAAATGAAAAATGGAATGTTAATACTGTTAATTAGCACTGAATCAAAGTAGCAGTTGCCTTGGGAGACGATTTCTACGATGAACATAAAAATATTTGTTATTCATCCAATTAAAAAACTTTGAATCATTTTTGTTTCTTTTGCCTCCTTTGAAATGCAATCGATGTTGATAGAAAATTTAATTAATATGATTTTCTAGTAGTATTTTTTTTTAAAAGATATTTACTACTGTGTTCTTTTTCTCTTCCATACCATGCCCCAATCCACACTTTTTACAGATCTTTGTTTGGGAACAGAACCTTGAACAGTTCCAAATGGACCTATTTCGGTATCGTTGTTATTTAGCTAGCCTCCAAGGAGGGGAGCTGCCAAACCCAAAAAGGCTACTTGCTTTCGCAAGTCGTCCAACTAAAGTTGCAATGGGCCGTCTTGGAATCTTTTCAGTATCTTCTTTTCATGCACTGGTGAGTTTCAACTGAAGCCAGAGGTCAGTACTGGTAAACTATAAATCGCTTGGTGGTTTCACAGAGAGATTAAATCAACAAAAGCTGTCATTGATGTCTGTGGGGTAAATTCTTACTTCAACATGCAGGGATTTCTGCATTTTGGGATGGGTACATGTCTTTGATCTAATTTAAAAAATTGATACTCTGAAGTGATTGTCTTGAAGGAGATTTGGTATCAAGTTTTTCTTTTTAACCTTAGGAGAACCACACCTTTTATACATGTATAATATTCATGCCAGATATATTTTATACATATCGCCATTATAAACACACTGCTGACTGTTACCAAAACCATAACGGGGCCCAAGAACTTCCTTACAGACATGGTGGTACTGCGGGTGTTAAAGATGACCCAAATCCAAAATCCCTGTTCCAAACTTTGAGACAGTCTGGATCCAAACTTTGCAGCTGGTCCCCATCTCTCCAGTGGGCTGAACCAAAAGCCTGGATGTAACCAATTTTGAAATTTGAGAAGATTTAGCTCTGGCTGTGAACTTTGCAGCTTGGGCCCCTCTCCAATGCCTGTGAACTCATAGGGCCTGATCTAAACCCCAGTGAAGTCAATAGGAGTCTTTAAATTTACTTCAGTATGTGTTGGATCATACCCAGTGTGGCAAGACCAACTTTCCCACAGAGTGAATAAGATTATTGTCCCATCTAGTCCAGTATCCTGTCTCCAGTAGCGATCAGCACCTGATGCTCCAGCAGAAAGTGTAAAACCTCTCCTGTACTCTTTCCCATTTGGCAAACAAGCCTTCAGCTGTGTTAAAATGGTTTAAATTTAAATACCATAACAATACAGCTTTTTAAAACACATAAAAATGTACTGCACACTGTTGCTTTTTGTTATGAATTTAAATGGCATGCCTGTAGTTTAGGCTTGCGTTCCTGGAGCTTTACAGAAATAGCTGAGCTCTGCTGTTGTCTTGTAGATGTCAGCTGTACCCTTCAATTGTGAATACAGAGCTGTAATTCAGTCAGAGGCGGTTTTATTCTTTTATATAAAAAGATTAGCATCATCATCCTGATAATTGCTGGTGAATTTATATTTTTAAAGAAGCGGGTCTTCATTTACATTTGTGCTCATTTTCTTTTGCCTCTAGCTTTTCGGTGATGAATTTTATTGCATTGCATGGAATTTAGCTAAATCTGCCTTCTCATGTTGCTTTCTCTATAGCCCCAAATTTTGAATATGTTGTCTTGGAAAAGAAAAGTTCTTCCCTTAATAATGCATCAATGGTACAGTTACATTGCTGTGATTCAAATATAGAGTTGAATTGTATAAGATATGGGGCACCCTGAACTCACATTGAGGGTACTGAGTTATTATGGTGATGAGCATAATATAACAAACTAAACTGACAGCACACTCATCCTCTCTTAGGAGAGCTTGTGTAAATTAGCATAGGGCTATTGACTTCAGTAGTGTTATAGAAATGGTCTAAGTAGACAGGTTCAGAAGTCATGGTTAGGTTGGTTGTTCTGTACTATGTTAGGCAGAGGTCTTGTTAGGTCTTTCAGATACAAGACAGATACCATAGATAAACTAAGTAAATATTCACAAGGTTTGCCTTTATGAAGCTAGAAACCTGCAACGGCAGTTCAACTTCTGTTTTTCCCTTACTTGTCCACTTTCCAGATGACAAACATGATTACTCTCAGTATATCTGTTCTCTGGATGCCCAACCCAGTATTCTGTTATGCCAGTTCTCATACCGTATTCATGCTTACAGTACCAAAACCAGTCTCTCAGCGTCTTATCACAAAGCTGCCTAGGTTTCTTTGTTCTACCCATGACTGTGTGCCAAATGACAGTCAGATATTGTTAGTTTCGTGTGTGGGACTCTCTTAAAAGTAGGTTTCAGGAAATTCACCTCCAGGGTTGCAAGGCGGGTGTGTCCTTTTCACTTTTTTCCCCAAGTCATACTTGCCATACTTCTTACCACTCCTTCTTTCACAAAAGAAGTGCTTGGGTGTCCTGCATATTAGAAGGAACACCCAAGAAGCTTGCGAAGAAGCTTTGCTTCTGACCGATGATCCATTTTTTCCCAGGAGGGATTCCCGGGTTGGGAAACCTTCCCAATTACCATGTCATGTAAAGGCAAATAGGTTTTAGCTAAATAGATTGTTATGGGTCATTGTTTTCAAATATCCAGGCAATCGACCCTTATCTAACTTGAAACTTAATTTCAGCTCCCACAGGATTGTGCTGAGTTGCTCTTGCACAACTGCAGTGCCCCAGATTACATCATTCTGTATAATCACAGGTACCACTGGAGCCCTACCGGAGTATGGGCTGCATTTTAGGGGATTAGGTAGGGTGGGTTATTTTGTTATATAGCACAGATTTCATGGGGAAATACTATATCTAATGTAACAATCTGTACTCTCTCTCTATAGATAGATAGATAAAATCTGCAAAACTGTGCTATAGAATAATAAACTGTCACTTCCTGAGCCTCTAGAGCTGTATTCCATGGGGAACTGTGATGTCACCGAATGATGCATTCTGGGGCATTACAGCAGATCAAAAGCTTCCTGAGAGGGAGGTAGAAATGAAGAAGTGGCGGGGAAAGAATTGTGCCCTGAAGGCCTCTCTTACTCTGGCTATAGGAGGAATTCAGGACAGAAAAATATACTTAGTTCTTCATCTTCCCTTTTCTTGTTTTTAAACACATTATTCACCTTTAAGGAAATACTTGTATTTAAATGCCTGACATTTGGCCTGCTAGAAATCATGAATCTGTTTAGGTGAGCACAGTCCACTTTACATGAAGGAATAAAGACACAGACGAAGCTCTTCAAAAGTGACTAGTGATTTTGGGTACCTCCCTTTTTGGGTGCCAATCCTGAAACATTATAAAGGGGCCTGATTTTCAGAAAGTGCTGAGCTCTCGCTCTTTGCAAACCAGGACTCTTTAAAATAACTCAAACTGGGCACCCAAAACCATTAGATACTGTCTTTTTGTGTATGTAATGTTGGAAGGAATGAGTTATGTTACAGTGGGAGGCAAATAGCTGATCTGGAGTCATCAACATTCCTGTTGCGAATACACATTGGTTGCTCCAGTATTTGCCATTTGCCCACTTGACTTCACTGTCAAAGCCTGTAAGCAATGGTATACTGGGATGCTGCAGCCTTTAATTTTAAAACCTTACGGCACTGGCAGGTGGCAGCTCGCACTGGGGAGGCCGGAGTAAGAAGAAGAACACAGGCCATGTCCAGATCCGCCAGCAAACGGAGAAGCAGGTTTTCTTCTCTTTGGGGACTGGATACTACCTCAAAGAAAAAACAAGGGAGGCCAAGCATTAACCAGGTAGGTAGATAGAACATTAAGCTTCATTGTTATTTTCAAGGCTTATTTTATTACCATGCAGAAGACACTTTGAAAAATAGCCCCAGCTCAGGGAAAGAAGTGTTGGTTACGCTGAGCACTTTTAATGTGCATTGCATACCCAGCCTTAATCTCTCCTGTTTAATCCTTCATGGTTGTGTAGTCATCACACTTAATATTCTCTTCAAAATGAGTCATTGTAATTACAGATAACTATATAACAGCTCATGTTTAAATGGTCCCGAGTGAGGTTTGAGGCCCATACCTTTTTTGAGATGAATGGGTTGTGTTTCTATTGATGCTGTCCTTTGTCTGGAGACTGTTTTCTGCAAGTTTAGGTTAGTGAGGCAGCAGCAGAACATCTGTTTACAGCTGCATTTTTGTAATAGGAAAAAAATAGGAAATTAATTTTTCTTTAAATGAAAGCTTAGAATTTGTAGAATGTTACGGGTAAGTTTGGAGAGAGCCCTGTAATGGACAATTCTCTGTATTTAGGAGGAACAGTCCATGCTTCTTTTCATTTTCATGCTGTCCCTCCCAAAATCTTCCACAGACAAATGTATTTCAGTGGATTAAGCAGGTGTTCCCCTGCCTTACTCTCCAAACATCCCTAATTATAGCTTTCAGATATTGGTAGTTATGCCTCATCTAATTGCAGGAATCACAGGGTTTTCTTTTTCTTCTGTTCTCTTTTTTTGGGAAGTGGGCAGGGCAGGATTTGTTTTGGGTTTTAGGCCTGTGATTTCCTCCTGTCCCTGTTGTTAAGACAGTGGTGTGGGTGGGGGAGTATTTATTGCTGAAGAATATGCCATATAATGTGTTGTTAATGAGACATTAAAAATCCACCTCATGCATGTTCTCATCAACTCTTACCTTTGTCTATCTCTCTAGTCAGTTCAGCCCAATGATTACAAAGGGGGCAGAATTTCACTAGAGAACTAGCTGATGCCTGATGAGCATTTTCAGAAGTTATATTTCTATTGTGTGTAACATGCTTGCTTTTAAAAAAAAAAATTCCCCAAACCAAGCAAAGTCTCTAGTGCTCAGCAAGGATTCTGTCCATGCCAAGTTTCAGATGTCAGGTATTTGTGCCATAGATTGCCAAATCCCACTCCCACTCCCACTCCCCCCCCCCCCCAACAGAGAGAGGTGTATTTCCCCCCCCACACACACTCTTCCACAACCCTGAATTGGCTGAGGAATTTTGCTCCAATTAAAAACATTAGATCTGGACAGAGACCAAGCTTTAAAGAAAATTCAGAAAGTGAATGTTTTGGAAGGTTACCAGTATGTCTAACTCTGTGGGGATTAGGCACCTAAATACCTTTCAGGATCTGGGCCTATATGTTCTCTGTAAATTTAGGCCCCATTCCTGCTGATATTTACTCATATGCTTAATTTTAAGCATGCTAGTAGTCCTATTGACTGTTAAGTTAAGGGCTTGCAAAATGGGGGCTTTAGATTGTAAGCTCTATTGAGCAGTGTCCATATCTCTTTCACATCCTGCATAGTTCCTGGCCCATCTTAGACACAACATAAATAACAATTAATAACACAATTATAAATAAGTGAATACATGAAGTTATAGAAACTGTTTTCCAATCTTAATTCTAGCAGGCTTCTTGTAGTGCCTGATGTAATGAAATCAAAGCTGTGTGTCTTCCCTTCACCAAGATGATAAATGCTTATGCCCTATGCCCAAAGCTGTAGTGGATTGTTAGTTTTTGCAGGTGTGCCAGTCTGGATCCATTCCAAGTCAGTTACTGCCTGATCCTGCAAATACTTCTTCTCTACTTGTATTCTTGCTTCTGCACTGTCCCATTATCTTAGTGTCCTTACCTCGTGCTGGATCATTAACTGTTACTTCACTAGCACGAAGTCATGTTGCGCCCAGACTGTTGTGGTTGGATGAGTGTTTACAAAATAAACAAATAAACTTGCTTATAAGAAAAATTACACAGCACTCTTCATCTAGAGATCTCAAAGTGCTTACTGAAAGTGGGTAAGCGTTATTATCCTCATTTTACAGATGGGGAAACTTAAGCACAGAGAGGATAAAAATTGTCCAGGTTCACACAGCAAGTCACCAACAGGAGTGGAAGTAGAGTTCAGGCCTCCAGTCTCCCAGCCTGGTGCCCCATCCACTAGGATATTCCTGCCTCCCTCTGTCTTTTTAGGAATCTGATCTTTTTCTTTTATATTTTTTGCGGTTATCATTGAAATAGATTTGGTCAGTTTAACTTACATGCTTGATGTCAGAGATTTTTTTTTCTTAAGACCCTGTAATGTGTCCTATTTAGAGTCTGTTTCCAGATTTGAGAGCATTATTGAATTATGTTATAAAATAGCACTTTTTGCTCTGCAGGTCTTTGGTGAAGGAGTTGATTCCGTGAAGAAGTCTTTAGAAGGAATCTTTGATGATACAGTACCAGATGGCAAGGTAAGAAAACCCTGGGCTTTACAAAGGAGTTCCATTAATTTATTTGCCTGCTTGAAAATAAAGCACATTCTTGCAGTGCTAGTAAGATGAGGTAGAATCTTGTTAGGGAGGCAGCACCTATGACAGCAATTCTGCCTGTAGTAGTTTCTACCAGACATGGAGGGGCAAGATGCTGGGCCTGCACCCTCTGTAGACTGACATCTTGCCATGAATGGGATGGAGTCATTGCAGTCATAGCGACAGGGATCCACTGGACAATCCGTTCTGTGGCTAGAGTTACAGAACCCGTAAGGACTATGAACCTTAGGAGGATTCCTAACCTACCAGTTTTAGCATATAACTAATTATAGTAGGCATTTAATATTGTTTATAATAATGTCATCATTTGTCATGTGCTAAGTTTTTACTTCAGCAGATGGAGGTGATGATGCAACATTGTATGTTAATATACAATAAACAGGCTTTGATAATGTTAATTGTAATTGGCAAAGGATTTATGTGAACCTACTGCTAATTTAGGATTATTGCAATTGGAAAATACAGTATTCTCCACATTTAGCTTTAATACTATATGCTCCTCCATAAGGCTTTTAGCTTTCCGAAAACAACCACAATCCCCTTCCCAAGCACCCAGAGGAAAGTCAGCTATAAAACACTGTTAAGCCAGTGCTAAGGAGCACATTTTTAATGTAGTGAGTAGGGATTTAGCTGTGTGACTCCATTTGCAGCTAACAGGAATTGTGCAGCTCTCTCACTTGCTCAAAAATGTACCCCCGAGGGTCCAACTTCAACCTACAAAAGACAGACAATTCAAAATGAATGCTGGGATATGCTATCCTGTAATACCTAGAAACCTTAGCACGGTCAGCTGTTTTCTTTGTGCTTGGGGGTAACTGGGAGATATGATGCATTGGAGCCTTAATTTTTAACATCAGTCCTTTTTTTATATTATGCCCCCCACATTGCTAATACCCATAGGTATCGCTCCATTTAACTCCATAGTAATTTTGCATTGACTTCAGGGGGTCAGGATTTTACCCATAGTGTTTGTGGTTTGACCTTATTACTTTACACTTGTACTTGTGTAGCACCTTTCATCTGGGGCCTTCAAAGTGCTTTACACTCACTGCTGAATGTAACTTACAATTCCCCTATAGAGTGGATATGTTATCCACATTTTACATATGGAGAAACTGAGGCTACAATAGAGCTAAATGAGTTGAGCAGTGTCCTACAGAAAGTCTGTGGTGGAGGCAGGAACAGCACCCAAATTTTCGGATTTTCTATTCAGTGTATTAACGTAGATCAGCCTTTCTCGCTTGTTATATTCCATATCTCCTGGTCTATTTGTATCTGTCTGTCCCAAGAAATGGAAACTACGTGGATATTTTAATTAGTGCTGTGTGATCACAGATACAATTTAAAAATAAAGTTTTGGAAGGGATATGAAGCCCTCATGCATCAGGGCGGAAGCCAACCTGTAACTACTGGGGGTTAGGAGGAAACTTTCCCTGGAGGCAAGTTATCTCAGATCTGCCTGCTGCAGTTTCTTCCTCTGAAGCAGCTAGTGCTGGCCACTGTTGGAGACAGTATACTGGACTAGATGACTACTGGTATAATTCTGTATGGGAATTCCTGTGTTCCTACCACCTACGTATTGAACTTTGCTATAGTGAAACTCCATTTATAGTGTTAGTGTGATGTACAATAAAAGCCCAAAATTCTTCCAGTCCAAATTGCAATATACAAACTGCAATTCCATTGCTACTTGAGCATCCACTAAGGGCTGGTCTACACTAGAAAAGTTATACTGGTATAATTATGTTGATTATGGGTGTGGTTTTTTTTTAACCGATATAGTTATACTAATATTAGCCCTAGCACAGACACAGTTATACCTGTATAAAGGTGCCTTACACCACAATAGCTTATTCTTCTTCCCAAACTAGAGTAAGCTATACTGGTATAAGCACATTTATACCAGTAAAATTGTCTCCACACTGGGGGGAGTGAGGAGGTAGGGGGGTGGAATTGCCATTTTAATCTGTACCAGTATAATTTAAAGCAGCAAAACTTTCTAATATAGACAAGCTCTTAGTCTAGGTTTGTGAATAAAATGTCTTCACTCTAACCGGGTTCCCCAGTAGGGTGTATGTATAGTACAGCATACTGACTTCCTTACACTTGGTATTGAAGAAGAGATGGATGATATTTTACCATCAATGTTTTAATTAATGGATTTTTCTCTTCAGAGGGAAAAAGAAGTGGCACTGACCAGCACCCATCAGCATAATCCTGATTGTGATATTTGGGTTCATGAGTATTTTACGCCATCTTGGTTCTGCCTGCCAAATAACCAGCCTGCTTTGACAGTAATCCATCCAGGTGACACCACAAGAGATGTTTTGGAAATGATTTGTAAGGTAACAGTGCACTTTGAAATGAACATTTCAGTGAAAGTTTTTCATTTCTAATTTTTAGGCATTTCATGAACAAATCTGCTATATGGTGTTTAACAGACCAGTTGGACTTGAGGTGTAAAATAACAACTCTGAGTTGTTTAGTAAAATTACACCACATTGAATAGGAAATAAAATTCTTAAATATAGTGTTTAGCTTTTTTAAAGAAAAGTCTGTGTTTTTGTTAGTTGTCTTTTTCTCTTAAAATACTGCAGTGAATCTATAAATTGCCTTCACATGACATCCCCACCAAACCCTTTACAATACTTTCCAAGATGACACAACTGCATGTAATTCACCTCCTCCCACAACAATGTCTCTATTCCCTTCCCCTAACAAGCCACCCAAAAGAACTTCCTGCTGCTGAAAACCCGCATGATAGGGGATGCGGCCTTCTTCATTCCCATTACCAACCCCACCTGCTTCCCCATGACAGAGCTAGCTTCTGCCAAACTCTCATGTTACCTACCTCCCCCATACAAGTGTGATGACATCACCCATTTCCCAAATTGCTAAGTAACTCCCAGTTTTCAGGTGTCATCCACCTGCCAAATAAGGAGTGTTCTGAGAGCTAAAGCCAGAACTTCAAAAAGAATATGAAATCACTGGAATAAAAAAAAAGTTATCTGTGTTTACCCATGTTGCAGAGTCAGTTTCATTTAGTGTGAGGAAGGGGAGGAGAAAAGGGAACTACATCCATATACTGGAAACACACATTTACTTTTCAAAATAAATAATTCAGATAAAAAATTGGGTAAGCTTGGCTATTAAAAGCTTCCAAAGCTTTAAACTTCCAAATCTCAGGAATTGAAGCCACAAGTACTCCTGTTCTTCTTTTTATAGCTTTGGTTAATCTAACCCATACTCTCAGTGCTAGTGTCCAAATAAAGCATTCTACTAACCAGCTAACTTGCAAACTAAAACTAACTTGCAGAAACTTAAATGCTGTTCTGATCTGGGGCTTCTTTTTACTTAAAATATCAAGATCTATTAACAATTTAACTTTGGGGAGTTTTAAAGCTATGTTGAGTATGCTTCTAAAGAGCTGGAAGGTGCAAAGAAAGGCATTTGTTTTGGGTAATTATACACTGTACTCAGCTCACTGCCAGGTGCACTTCTAAAGACTGCTGCAGCTTCTGAAAGCTCCTCATTGTAGTCAGGGAGAGATGACATTTTTAAGAGAGAGACATAATAGGGAAGTTGGGTGATATACTATTAGTAATGATTTATTTTTAGGGCTGATATTTTCCTTCTGGATAAGAGTGATTAACTCAGTGGGTCAGATCCTCAGCTGTTGTAAATTGGTGGAGCTCCACTGACTTCAGTTTACACCGACTAAGGATCTGATCCATGTTGTATTTTTGTGGGTTGGGGTTTATTTAGAGCTAATATCTGTTTCCTTCCTTTCCATAATAGTTGTCAGTCTGGAAAATACTGATGGATGCATTCTTTTCTATAACATTTAATAATCAATCTCTTTCTTCTGTCTCTTGCATTCAGCTCTTTCTTTTTCCTTTTACTATCTGATCCACATCATTTCACATCAGTTTGCCATCTGCCATCTGAGAAACAGTCAAGTTCTGGTATAGTAAACATTTCAAGATCTACATTTCATTTAAACCTCTTCATGTTGTAGATGTAGTTAAGACTATCCATGTCATTAAACTGATCTTGACTATTCTATCCGATAATTCAAAATGCAGTAGAATATTTGCAGAATAATGCATTCTTCTTGCTAATGCTGCTGTTTGTGTGTAATCATCGTGTTTTAGGGTTTTTAAAAATATTTTTAGTATTTGGGCTTATTTTTTAAGATGGTTTGGTTTTCTCTTAAGATTTAACAAGTAATGTCATTTGGAAGCCAAGAAAAAAATATCAGTTTGTGTGTGTGTGTATTTAAGTATTTCATACTAACACGTACCTATGTAAATTTATATATAAGTATAGATAGATATTTGTATAGTGACTGTATGTTTCCAAAAGGTGGGGACTTGTATCTCCTGAAGTGAATGAAGTGCCATTCTATAAGCCCAATGTATCTGCCAAGGCTAATACATTTTCTAAGAAATGCCATCTGGATCAAAATATATGATCAAGATTATCAATTGACTCTTCTATATCTCTCAGAAATTCATGGGAACAAATAAGCACCACTAAGGAATGGAATACAAACATGGTGTAGAAATTTCTGGATTTGAAAGACCATCTACTGAAGTTGACCAACAATTTTGTCCTGTTTTCTGTCCTCAAAATCAATTAGGAGGAGAAATCTAAATTGACACTGCTCCAAAACAATATTCTGCTAGTGGATTTTTTTCATGGTTTCAATACTGCATTCAAAATCTCTCCATTTGCCTCAGTCCTAATCTTTGAGATGGTGAGCAAAAAGGTTATGCTTCTAATCAAACATCTCCAAAATGACCTGCATGAAGATAGATACACTTACAATTTTCTTTGGGCCTGATTAGGAACCCACTGAAATAAGTAGAAAGGCTTTCATTGACTTCAGTGAGCTATAGATCAGGCTGTCCATGGGAAAGTTGCTATGGTAAGATGATAGCAACCCCAAGGATTAACATATACACTCAGTGATTTCTATAGGATTTCTGAATAGTGTTCAGGCAAATTGAAACATCATTATAAGGATATTTCTTGGAATAGGAAGAAATCTAGTATTGCTGTTTGGAAGCTACAAACACACAGAAGCGTGGGCAGTATACTTCTCTTTGGATCCTAGACTGTATTAGATTCCATTTAACGTCAGGCTAAATCTTGCTGGCATGTCATTCTGTCAATAACTGCCAGGCAGACATCTCTGATGTTGAATGAGCTGCAGAATGTACACAAGGCACAAGAGATCGCAGAATGACAGACATGGCTACTGGGTCATCTATTCCATTTCTCTGTCAGTACATTGTTTTTTACCGATAGTATACTTTTGTGCTGCTTTGTCCAGTTTTGTTTTAAATGTCTTACACAATGGGGCATCTATCTGTTCCATATACAGTCTCACATTGAGATTTATCAGAGAGCCCCCTGATTGTAAATCTAAATTTTCAGATCACTCTCAGAATACAAGGCAGGTGTATACATGTATTTTTATTGGATTCGAGGTCCCGACACTGTTTAATGTGGCAGGTTTCTCATCATTGACTCCTCTGATAACTGGTGATAGTAGATTAATCTGACCAGAAACTAACATCTGGCTGATTTATTAATCTGCACAATTAAAACAACCATGCTTCTCGTGTGTGTGTGTGTGTGTGTGTGTGTGTGTGTGTGTGTAGTATAA